CCCCCCAGTCCCTTTATTGAACTACATAACTGGGAAACAGGGGCAAGGCAACTGCTTATATACCTTCCTGAAAGCCTGGGCCACTCCCACTCCCAACATGATTGGCTGTCTAAACTTCCAAGCTGTGAATCACGACTCAGAGTTCAAGGGCCAATGGCAGAGGCCCAAATCCTGAAATGTTCTGTGATTGGATACCATGCATCGAATCAGAACACAGGAACTCAGAATCCTTAGTCCAGACTCAGGCTCAGGCAAACAGAGACCACTGAATACCTAACAGGCTCCAGCCTCAAGATACGCATGGCGCCCTCAAAGATCCATTTTTTTTGGGGGGGGGGAGCCTGTTGGCATTTGTAGCGGTTAGAACATATTCAAAGCTGGATCAAAGCCAGGAGTTTCTGCCAAGGAATCCCAGGAATCAGAGGGGAAAAGAGCAGTCTAAGGATCTGTCCTTCTGGCCAGGGAGCTCTGGGAATTGTAGCTCAAGTGGAAGGCGCTGGTGGGGGAGGGTCTCCTAACAACTCTAACCACTTTGGGGGGGGCTGTCTCTTTCAGCCCCACCTTAGATTTGCTTCCTTTCCTATAATCCTTGAATTGTAGGTTTGGAAGGGGTCTTCGAGGATCATCTAGTCCAGCCCACTGCAATGCAAGAGTCTCATCTACAGCATCCCTGGCAGGTGGCTGCCCAACCTCCTCTTAGAACCTTCCAAGGAAGGAGAGTCCCTTCCCCTTTCCAGCAGGGCCTCTCCTGCCTCAGTTTCCTTGGCTGGGAGACCTCCAGGGCTTCTCAGCCGGGCTTTCTGTTCAGTCTCTAAAGATCCCCCTGAACACCTGAGTGGCCTCATGTCTGAATGGGCAATTGCGTGTCGACCAGGAGTCTGATGGGTGGGTGGTGGGGAGAGCTTCGCTTCTAACTGAAGGACAATAGAGGACTTGCTTGCATCTTGAGGAGAGGAGCCCTGCAGGATCAGGCCAGTGGGGTCCCCGTATTGGGTCCAGCCTCCTGTTCTTTGGGAAAGCCCATCAGCAGGACTGGGGGGTGGGGAGGGAAGAGCCCCTCTCTCCACCTGCACTTCCTTCCCCAAAACTGGGATTCAGAAGCAAGGCTGCCTTCGACTGGAGACAAAACACAAACCACCCCTGGACCTCTCTTCCTCCATGCGCTGCCCTCCTCCTCTTTGCTCTCCATCTTCCAACAATCTGTGTCTCTTTATAGCGTAGGTCAGGTTTCCACTTCTATTCTTTGTTTACATTTTATGTCCAAATGCTTTCATCTGCTTAATAAATGGGAATTTATGGGCTTTCTGCTTTTGTGGTTTTCATTATTCCTGTTCTTAGGATAGTGCCATTAGAATGCTGTTATAATGAATCCAGTTCTCCAGAGCAAAGGTACATCCTTCCAAGGGTTAAAATGAAGTGAGTCGTAGATTCCTAGAGAGGACCGGAAATAAATGCAGGGGGGCGGGAGCAGGTCCTCCCAAGCAGAAGCTTCCATGCCCTTTCCTGCAAGGGGCTGGTTTTTGTCTCCTCTGCAAGAAGGAGGCTGTTGCCTCTGCTCTGCTGCTTCTGGGATCTGGTGAGTCTCTTCTCTCTTGCATGGGGTGCATTGGGGCAGGAGCTGCAGGGGAGGGGGCATGGGGGGCTGTTTGGCTCATGCAGGGGGAGCTCCCCAAGTCAGGGAGCAGAGGGTCCTCCTCTTGCTAAGAGGTAAAGGGACCCCTGACCCTAAAGTCCCGTCAAAGGCAACTATGGGCTGCAGCGCTCATCTCGCTTTTCAGGCCAAGGGAGCCGGCGTTTGTCCACAGACAGTTTCCGGGTCATGTGGCCAGCAAGACTAAATAATAATCATCAGTGCTTTTTTCTGGGGGGGCACAGGGGGACGCACACCCCTAAACATTTTCTGAATCTAAGATTGGCCTCATTGAGGGGCAGTATTTCAATATGAGTAGGAAAATGAGAGGACCCCTAAACATTTTTAAAGGAAAAAAGGCATTGATAATAATAGTACAGTGGTACCTCGGGTTAAGTACTTAATTCGTTCTAGAGGTCCGTTCTTAACCTGAAACTGTTCTTTACCTGAAGCACCACTTTAGCTAATGGGGCCTCCTGCTGCCGCCGCGCCGCCGGAGCAGGATTTCTGTTCTCACCCTGAAGCAAAGTTCTTAACCCGAGGTAATATTTCTGGGTTAGCGGAGTCTGTAACCTGAAGCGTATGTAACCCAAGGTACCACTGTAATTTATTACTTACACCCCGCCCGTCTGGCTGGGCCTCCCCAGACACTGGGCGATTCCCAACAAAATATTAAAAACACAATAAAACATCAAACATTAAAAACTTCCCTAAACAGGGCTGCCTTCAGATGTCTTCTGAAAGTCAGATAGTTCTTTATCTCATTGACATCTGGTGGGAGGGTGTTCCACAGGGCAGGCACCACCACCGAAAAGGCCCTCTGCCTGGTTCTCTGTAACTTGGCTTCTCACAGCGAGCGAACCGCCAAAAGGCCCTTAGAGGAGGACCACAGTGTCCAGGCTGAACGATGGGGGTGGAGAGGCTTCTTCTGGCGCAATGGGACGCCATGATGGAAACCAGAGCGCCCAGAAATGCCGTTTACCTTCCCGCTGCAGCAGTACCTATTTATCTACTTGCACTGGTGTCCTTTCAACCTGCTAGGTTGGCAGGAGCTGGGACCAAGCAACGGGAACTCACTCCATTATGGAGATTTGAACTGCCAACCTTCTGATCAGCAAGCTTAAGAGGCTCAGTAAAGCCAGAGCAGGAGGCAAGTTCTCAGAAGGTCTGCAACTGTATTATTTATTTGGACCCATACACTTATTGCCACTTTAGGGAGGGGTCTCTGGATCAGGGGGGAAAGTGAAGAGCTTATGGATTATTTGATTTCTATACCTCTTCATATATTAGAAAAATCTCTAAGCAGTGCACAGGAAAGAAAGCAAGCACAGACTACGTAAACAAAAATAGCAAAAATACACAGTTGCATAAAATTTGAATACAAGATACTCATGATAGAAAATAATGTAATCAGTAAATTAATAAAACATTTATTAACCAGATTGGAACAAATAAAATATGTTGTGTTGTTTATGTAGTCGTGTCGACTTCGTGACCCCATGGACCAGAGCACGCAGCACCTCTGTCTCACACTACTCCCGAGTTTGTCAAACTATGCTGTACCTCGAAACACTAAATCCTCTCGTCCTCGTCGCCCCCTCTCCTTGTGCCTCATCTTCCACATCATCTTCTCCAGGGAGCTGGTGGCCAAATACTACCTCAGCTTCACGATCTGTCCTCCACCTCAGTCTGATTCCTAAGAATGGATGCATTTGATTTCTTGCCGTCAAACACTCTCAAGGTCTTCTCAGCACATATCAAAGCATCAATTCTCGCACACCTCTTTATGGCCAGCTCTCACTGCATAATATATGGAAACATGGTTACTTACGGACTTTTGCAAACATCTCTACTGCTCAAGAGCCTGTCTAGCCTGCATTGCCTTCTCCCAAAAGCAGGCGTCTTTAATTTCGTGCTGCGTACGTAAAATAATACACACACAAAATAAATGAAAACTGACCTATGCAAAATGAATAAACACTGTGGAGGGGGCAGAGACACATCCACACTTAATAGAGAACTTTTTTCTTTCCGTGACAGTGTGCAAATTTTATAACAGAACAATGTATTTGCTTTGTAGAATTTGCGAGCACCTCTCATTCAGAATTTGACAGGTGAAAAGGGGGATCCCTAACATTCTCTTGGAGGCTCCTGAGAGCACAGATGGATGGAGCAAGACTCAGCTTGCCCTGGAGCAGGAAGAGGCCCTGCCATGGAAATTTGGAGCAGTGGGGGATTCTGGGAAAGCTCTGTGCAGAAGATCCTAGGAGAGGAGGACCCCCTTCGCTCAGAGGCGCAGAGCCAGCAGTTGAGGCAGTTCTGCTGCCAGGAGGCCAAAGGACCCCGTGAGGTTTGCAGCCAACTCTACCACCTTTGCCACCAGTTGCTGAAGCCAGAAAGGCACATGAAAGCTGAGATGCTGGACCTGGTGATCTTGGAGCAGTTCCTGGCTGTCCTTCCAGTGGAGATGGAGAGCTGGGTGAGGGAATGCGGAGCAGAGACCAGTTCCCAGGCAGTGGCCCTGGCCGAAGGTTTCCTCCTGAGTCAGGCAGAGGAGAGGAAGCAGGCAGAGCAGCAGGTGAGAGAGACTTTCCTCTGGATGCTCCCAAGGGGCTCCAAGGAGGAGGGAGAAGATCCCTAAATCTCATCCTTTTTGGAAAGTATCCAAGGTGCTATATTGGACATCCCTAAAGATTTTGCCCCTGCCATTCCTTTTCTAATAGTTTTCATTCTTTTGATTTGTTGCTCTTACAGGGAAAGGATCTTTTTGCAGAAACGGGTCCTGATTCCTCTGAGGCAGAGAGGACTCCGTTGGACACCAGAGAGAGGCCGCTGGGTAAGGAGGAAGGAAGATTCCATTCTGTTGATTCTGAAACTAAACTTTTGGCAGAAGCCACTTGGGGCCAAGAGGCCAAAGGAGATCAGATATATTTCAGCATCACTAAAATATGAAATGGGGACAAACTCCCAAATGCACCTCTGAGAGAAGCATCCTGCACTCCTGTCTCCCCACTTCCCTTTGTCTCTCGCAGGTGAAAGAAGGATGCCGGCAAGACCTCCTCCTCCATCTCTTCATCCTGGTGGAGGGGAAGCAGCGGCTGAGGAACCGGATCAGGTGGGGGAAGGAGCCTTGCAGGGAAAGGGGCTGGGGGGGGGCATTGGAATGCACAATTTTAAAAATTCCATTTAGACATTAAAATAAGCATCCATAGTTAAAATGTGCAGTGAAACAAAGCCATTAAAACAGCACAACAACAAACAGGCAGAAAACAACAGAACAATGTGTAGTAGATAATACTTATGCTGTCTAAGGGGACGACCTTTTTCTTCTTTCAGGGTCCAGTGTGTTTTGAAGATGTCGCTGTTTGTTTCATGGCTGAGGAGTGGGCGTTGCTGGATCCTGCCCAGAGAGCTCTGCATAAGGAAGTCATGGAGGAGAATTGTGGGATCTTGGCTTCTCTAAGTAAGGTTCCCTCTTGAATCATGATATTTGTTTGGAAATTCCATAAATATATCTATGTGTGAAGCCTCCCGGATTTTGATTGAGCTCAACACCACCACCTAGAGCACCTGTGATTATAACACCCTCACAGCTCACCTTGAATGGGGGGCTATGGATTCTTTTGTCTGTGATTATTATTTCGCCATTGATGCCTTTTTAAACCATGATCTGGCTGTTTGAACTACCATGGACTTTTTAAATATAGACTTCAGAGTGGTTAGGGAATCATAGAATCATCTAGTCCCACCCCCTGCAATGCAGGAATCTCATCTAAAGCATTCATGACAGATGGTCTTCCAACCTCTTCTTAAAAACCTCCAAGGAAGGAAAGTCCACAACATTCCAATGGAGACAGTTCCGCTGCTCAACAGCTCTTACCCTCAGAAAGTTATTTCTGATAATTAGTCAGAATCTAATTTCTTGTAACTTCAAGCCATTGGTTTGGATCCTACCCTCCAGAGCAGGAGAAAACAAGCTTGTTCCTTCTTCCATGTGGCAGCCCTTGAGATATCTGAAGATGGCTCTCATATCTCCTCTCAGTCTCCTGTTTTGCAGGCTAAACATCCCCAGCTCCTTCAACCATTCCCCATAAGGCTTGGTTTCCAGACCCTTGATCATCTTGGTTGCCCTCCTCTGCACACCTTTCAGCTGGTCAGCATCATTCTAAAATTGTGGTGCCCAGAACTGGAAACACTATTACAGATGTGGTCTGACCAAGCTGGAATAGAGTGGTACTATTACTACCCTTGATCTGGACACTAGACTTCTGTTGATGCTGCCTAGAAGATCATTCACTTTTTTTGCTGCTGCATCACACTACTGTCTCATATTAAGCCTGTGGTCAACTAAGACCTCTAGATACTTTCCACATGTACTACCATAAGGCCAGGTGTCCCCCATCCTATATTTGTGCATCTTGTTCTTCCTGCCTAAGTGAAGAACCTGACATTTGTCTCTGTTGAAATTCATTTTGTTAGCTGGGGCCTAGTTCTTCAATCTGTTAAGGTCATTTTGATTTCTGGTTCTTTCTTCTGTGACATTAACTACTCTTCCCAGTTTGGTGTCATCTGCAAATTTGATTTGCATCTCCTAAATTCCTCTATCCATGTCATGTATAAAGCCATTGTACAACAACAGATTCTGACAATTTTTTTGTTTTTGCTTTTGCTTTTGCTCTGGTCTGTTTTTTGTTGACCAAACAGATGACAGACATTAGAGATGGCCCAGATTCCATGATTGAGTCAAACAAAATCTGTCCCAGAAAAGAGCCAGTCTTGTCAAATCTTAAGTTTCCATAAATATGTCCCTGAATGCCAGTCAACAAAGGCAGTGAACCCTGAAGTACGTCCTCCCATCTAACTCCCTTCAGTTCCTCCTCTCTCAAGAGCGTTAATGAGCTTTGTTCAATAACAGGGGGGTCCATTTCTTTCTGAGGCTTTAATCCATTTCTCTCTTCACTGCAGGTCGAGATGGATTGGAAATTAAGAACAAGGGAGACCACAACAAAATCCACACGGAGAAGCAATATCAATATTTGGAGTCTGGAGAGAACTTTAGCCAGAGCTCCCATTCAGTTTCCCATGAAAGAAATCCCATTGGGAACGAACCCTCTCAGCGCTTGGAGTCTGTTAAGGGCTCTCATATAAGCACAAGTGTCTGTCGACATCAGAGAATTCACAGTGGGGAGAAACCATATCAGTGCTTGGAATGTGGGAAGGGCTTCATCTGGAAGATAAGTTTGACTTCCCATCAAAGAATTCATAGAGGGGAGAAACCATATCCATGCTTGGAATGTGGGAAGAGGTTCAACCAGAGAGCCCATCTCACTTCCCATCAAAAAATTCATACAGGGGAGAAACCGTATGAGTGCCTAGACTGTGGGAAGAGGTTCAGCCAGAGGACCCACCTCAGTTCCCATCGAAGAATCCATACAGGGGAGAAACCATACCAGTGCTTGGAATGTGGGAAGGGCTTCAGTCAAAGGGCCCACCTCACTATCCATGAAAGAATCCATACAGGGGAGAAACCATATCAGTGTACGGAATGTGGGAAGAGCTTCCGTAAGAGTTCCGTTCTCACTAACCATCAAAGACTCCATACGGGGGAGAAACCATATCATTGTTTGGAATGTGGGAAGAGGTTCAATGAGAAAACGAATCTAATTTCCCATGAAAGAATTCATACAGGGGAGAAACCGTATCAGTGTGTGGAATGTGGGAAGAGCTTCCGTAAGAGTACTTTTCTCACTTCCCATCAAAGAATCCATACGGGGAGAAACCCTATCAGTGTCTGGAATGCGGGAAGAAGTTCAGTCAGAAGGCCCACCTCACTTCACATCGGAGAACTCATGCAGGTGAGAAACCATATCAGTGCTTGGAATATGGAAAGAACTTCAGTCATAGCATCTCTCTCACTTCCCACAAAGAATTCACAAGGGAGAAACTCTAATTGTCCTTGGAATGTGGAAATACCTTTGAAGGATCAAGCTCACTCCCCATCAAAGAAGTCACAGCGGGGAGAATCATAGGATCATGGAGTCTTAGAGTTGGAAGGGATTCTGATGGTTATCTAGCTGAACCCTGTGCAAAGCAGGAATCTCAGCTAAAGCATCCATGACAGAGGACCATCCAACCTCTGCTTAAAAACTTTCCACTTTCCACCACCTTCTGATGGCATCTGTTCCTCAGTCAGATAGATCTTACCTTCAGAAGTTCTGCCTGATGTTTAGTCAGAATCTCATTCCTTGTAACTTGGAGCCATTGGTTGGAGTTCTATCCTGTGGAGAAGGAGAAATCACATCTTCCATGTGACATCCCTTTAGATATTTGAAGATGCCTATCATATCCCCATGCACTCTTCTCTGTGATAAACATCCTCAGCTCCCTCAAGCATTCCTCATAAGTCTCAGTATTCAAGACCTCCCTTTTTGTGATATTATTTTCCATATAGAAAGTTACATTTGTTAATCAACAATTATGTTCCAATTCAATAAAGCTAGTAAGGTAAAGGGACCCCTGACCATTAAGTCCAGTCGTGACCGGCTCTGGGGTTGAGGCGGTCATCTCACTTTATTGGCCAAGGGAGCTGGCGTACAGCTTCTGGGTCATGTGGCCAGCAGGACTAAGCCGCCTCTGGCGAACCAGAGCAGCGCACAGAAATGCCGTTTACCTTCCCGCCGGAGCGGTACCTATTAATCTACTTGCACTTTGATGTGCTTTTGAACTGCTAGGTTGGCAGGAGCAGGAACCGGGCAACAGGAGCTCACCCCGGCGCGGGGATTCAAACTGCCGACCTTCTGATTGGCAAGTCCTAGGCTCTGTGGTTTAACCCACAGCACCACCTGCATCCCAATAAAACTAGTAGCTGTCCGCTTAATAATAATAATAATAATAATAATAATAATAATAATAATAATTTATTATTTATACCCCGCCCATCTCACTGGGTTTCCCCAGCCACTCTGGGTGGCTTCCAACAAAATATTAAAATACAGTAGTCAGTCAAACATTAAAAGCTTCCCTAAACAGGGCTGCCTTCAGATGTCTTCTAAAAGTCTGGTAGTTGTTGTTCTCTTTGACATGTGATGGGAGGGCATTCCACAGGGCGGGTGCCACTACCAAGAAGCCCCTCTGCCTGGTTCCCTGTAACTTGGCTTCTCGCAATGAGGGAACCGCCAGAAGGCCCTCAGAGCTGGACCTCAGTGTCCGGGCAGAATGATGGGGGTGGAGACGCTCCTTCAGGTCTACTGGGCTGAGGCCGTTTAGGGCTTTCAAGATCCAGTATACTACCCTGACTCTCTAATGAGACTCTTAGAAATTGTGCATGCATCTGTGTGCGCTTAAAGTTCACTTGTGGTGCTCTGGTGTTTGTACGCATGTGTAACAAAGTAATTAATATAATAAGCACAGTATAATAGTAGATTTAAGGTACTGTTAGCTAGTGAGGGGTAAAGTGTGAGTTTGGGATGTTGGGAGTGAGAGGTGATTGGCTGAGAGTTTGAAAAGGATTTTGAATAAAACATACAATCAGGCCTGTGGCTTATTAAACTTTGCATATTGTCTTAAATATGTTTGTGGGAGGGCGGTGATTGGTTTGTTTCATTTTATGCTGTGAAGCATCCTGGGGTCTCTGGATGAAGGCAGTATACAAATTTAATGAATTAAATACAAAAAGTAGTCATAAGCAATAAATGAAACATTTAAAAATGCAAAACCAAACTGAACAATTTCCACATAAATCACAAGAGCTAAAAGAAGAAGAAGCCGCAAACTAGCCACACAGGTACAACTCCCTATGAAACATTCGAAATCATGCGCTTATGTATACAAAGTTATCTTGAAACCTAATTTTTAATAAATCAGTTGTGTTCCAACACACACTTCATTCTTCACTCCTTTAGGGGTGAAGTGTTCAGGGAAGAGTTCTCTGGGGTGTTTGGTGGAAGACCCAGTCAAGACCCAGCTCCCAGCTGTGCCCCTTGAATGCAGTGGGGAGGGGGCGCAGGAGGGGGTGGGCGCTGCCAGAGCCCCTCTGAGCGAAGGCGGTGGCAGCCCAACACAGGGAGACAAACTACACCTCTGCATGAGCAGAGCTCATCTAGAGCTCTTCATAAAAGCAAACCTAGCTATACAGCAATGTCTGAGCATCTCGCCAGACACAGGAGGGCAATTAAAGGCATAACGAATAGAGACACCTTGCATGGACCTCTTTCTTTAACTATGTTAATGACCAAAATCAAGACCTTGTTGTATCAACCGCTCAATATTCTTAGTGGTTACGCTAAGCCAGAAGTTTCCAGCCTTTTTGAGTCCACGGCTCCCTTCTTTCTGTGGCACCCCTGTGGGGCTCAGGAGCCCAGTTAAGTCACCCCCCTTGCCTGCAGAGCTGGCAGCCCCTCGCCCTTTTTCGAACACCCTCCCTTGTGCAGTGTCCCCTCAGCCTCCTCTCCTCTCCCTCCTCCTTGGGAGTCCTCTGGACAGCCTTTGCTGCTGCCCTGGTCTCTGAGCTGCCCCAAAGAGAGGTGCCTCCCCACACTGTCCCACAGGGGCCTGGGACTTGTCTGTCCATTCCTACCAGCAAGGGCTGGCGGACGGGCTGGCTGGGCTCCCTTGCCCGCTTGCTTGCTTCCTCCGAACCCGCTTCACCTCCTGCTAACCAGCACCCCCTGGCCAGCCCCAGAGGCACCATTCGCCAGGGGAGCTTGTGACCAAGGCTTCTGCAGCAAACAGACGTGCCAGCCTTTGGGAGGCAGAGACATGAGAGGGCATCAGGGGAGGGAGGGAAGGAAAGAAGGACAGAGGCCAGAGATGCCCGCGGCACCCCTGACCATCACTCAAGGCACCCCAAGGTGCCACGGCACACTGGTTGAGTAATATGTTTGAATGTTGAAGGTGTGTGTCTAGAGACAATGGATAAGACAAACACCGTTCGATGTCCTGCTGAGTCCGGAGTCCCTCAGCATGCACCTAGTCATCTCCATCAGAGACTGAAACATTCCTTCCATGACTGAGTTTTGTTGCATGGTGTGGCTCTCACACCTCCCCTTCCTCTTCCAGGACGGCTCTCGTGTGGCTCAAGGGAAACTCACCTCCACTGTCTACCTCCACTGTCGCTGACCAGAGTTGTGAGTTTCCTATGAAACTTGCTGCTCACCGTGGCAAGGTATTTTCTGAACATCTCCACTGCTTCAATTTCTCTTTTAGAAGTACCTTGAGAAAACATCCGGAAAAATTAGAATATACTTATTCTTCCCTAAGTGTGCCACACACATCTGCATACACTACACTCTGGTGCTTTTCTGTTATACAGCGGTACCTTGGGTTACAGACACTTCAGGTTACAGACGCTTCAGGTTACAGACTCCGCTAACCCAGAAATAGTACCTCGGGTTAAGAACTTTGCTTCAGGATGAGAACAGAAATCGTGCAGCGGCGGCACGGCAGCAGCAGGAGGCCCCATTAGCTAAAATGGTGCTTCAGGTTAAGAACAATTTCAGGTTAAGAACAGACCTCCAGAACGAATTACCGTATTTTTTGCACCATAACACTCACTTTTTTCCTCCTAAAAAGTAAGGGGAAATGTCTGTGCGTGTTATGGAGGGAATGCCTACAGGTGGCATGCCTACGGATTTTCCTCCTCTAAAAACTACGTGCGTGTTATGGTCGGGTGTGTGTTATAGAGCGAAAAATACGGTAAGTGTTTAACCCGTGGTACCACTGTACATGAAGCAAAAGAAGCTTTAACAACTCTTCTCAGTGATGCAACTGACGCACTTGGTTGTGGCAGGTGCCTTTTGGCTTGCCTTCGTCCCTGCAGCAAGCTGCTTGCATTGCAACTCCACAGTGACTTTGATGTCTCTGTGGCCGAACCTTCTGTGCCAGAGTTCTGGATCTGCTTCATCCTTGACAAGCTGAAACGTTTGCAGAACAGGGCGAGCAAGACGACGAAGGGTTTGCGCACTTGTGTGTGCCACATTCACAGTCTGGGGCTCTGAAAGATTTGCCTCGTAGACTGTTAATCCAATGTGCTGCTGCATGCACCTGGCCATCGTTGGCCGCTTGCCATTTCCCCATTCAGAATTGTATAGGGAAACCTTTCCTATCCAAGGTGGACACACTGGGAATGTTGCAATTCAATTGTGGGACATACAGGGCATGATTCTCTCTTAATTGGGACTTGCAGGGGAGAAACATGGCAAACTGAATGCCTTTCTGTCAGCAAGTTGCTTTCAGAAATAATAACATGATGACTGACAATAGCCAAGATCTTGGCTGTTGCATTCACTCTGGATCTAAGAGTGAATCAGAATTGTAGAGTCGGAAGGGACCTAAGGGGCCATCTAGTCTAACCCCCTGCAATGCAGGAATCTCAACTAAAGAATCCCTGGCAGATGGCCATCCAAGCTTTGTTTAAAAACCTCCAGTGAAAGAGAGTCCACAACCTCCTGAGGGAGACTGCTCCTCCTGGACATCCCTTGAGATACTTGAAGATGGCTCCTCCCAGTCTCCTCTTTTCCAGAAGCCTTTATTTCCAGACCCTTGATCATCTTGGTTGCCCTCCTCCGCACATGTTCCAGCTTGTCAACATCCTTCTTAAATTGTGGTGCCCAGTATTCCAGGTGTGGCCTGACCAAGGCAGAATAGAGTGGGACTATGACTTCCCTTACTGACTCCTGTTCAGCTTGTGGTTCACTAAGACCCGTAAATCCTTTTCACATGTAAAGCCAGGTGTCCTCCATCCTATATTTGCGCCACAGGCTCTTCCTGCTTAAGTGAAGAACTGTACATTTGCCCCTATTGAGATTCATTTTGTGAGTTCTCCAGTCTGCTATGATCGTTTTGAATTCTGATTCTGTTTTCTATGGCATGAGCTGTCCCTCCCAGTTTGGTGTCATCGGCAGATTTGTTGAGCATCCCCTAAATTCCTTCATCCACGTCATTTATAAAGACTTTGAACAACATCGGGCCCAGGTCAGAACCCTGCAGCACCCCACTTGTCACTTTTTCTAGGATGACAAGGACCCATTATGCAAAACTCTTGACTTCACATACTCACTCCTGGAATCTGGATGGGTAGAGATGGACCAGGAGTGAGTCCTTGGGGGTTGCAGCAGGCAGCTCAGTGAAGCCGTAGACCCAGTGTGTGGTGGCTGTGAAAAAAGACAAACTTCACACCAGGGATCGTTAGGAAAGGAGTGGAAAATAAAACTGCAAATACCATGATGCCTTCATAGAAATCTACGGTGTGACTGCATTTGGGGCACAGTCTCCAGTCCTGGTCGCCTCCTCAAAAAGGATATTTGTAGAGCTGGAAAAAGTTTCAGCAAAGGGCCGCCGAAATGACCAAGGGGGTGGCCGGCTTTCCTATGTGGCGTTTGGGGATGTCTAGTTTAGAGGAAAGGCGGGTGAGAGGCAACTTGATTGACAGAGAGAGAGAGAGAGAGAGAGAGAGAGAGAGAGAGAGAGAGAGAGAGCGCAGCTTTCCTCCCTGTCGCATAGCGGGGCTGCGCTGGCTTGCAAAGGGTTAAAAGGCACTAAGCTGGATTCCTAGAGAGGAGAGAGGAGATCCAGGCGGGGGGGGGGATGGGCTCCTGAGCCGAAGCCCCTCCCGGCCAAGTGCTTCTCCTCCGCACGTGCATCGGGGGTCACTTGGGACTCCGGTGGGTCTCTGCTCTTCTTGCCTAGGGTGCAATGGGGGGAAGGGGGGCGGGTCCCAGGGCTGCAGGGGGGGGGGCAGGGAGGGCCTTCTCAGCCCATGCACGGGGGGGGGGGCAGGGAGCAGAGGGTCCTGCCCCCTTCCTTCTCTCCTGGGGGGGGGGCTCCTTTTGCAAGAGGAGGGGGGCAGTTGTCTCTCTGCTCTGCCCCCTCTGGGCTCTCTCTTCTTGCAAAGGGTGCCATGGGGAGAAGGGGGGCAGGGGGAGGGCTGCTCAGTTCATGCAGCAGGGGGATCCCCAAGTCCGGGGGGGGGCAAGGAGGCTCCTGCCCCTTCCTCTCTGCAAGCCCGGGAGGGGCGAGCTCACTGGACGCCTGCAGCTCTTCTTCCTTGGCCCTTTGGCGGGGGGGGGGGCTGCAAAGAAACCCAGTTCAAAGCCTTGATCATCTGCAGGGGTTGTCGCCCAGCAGAAGCATTAAAATGTCCGCAAAAAATAAAAAGCAAAACCTGACCTATGCAAGAAAGAAAGAAAGTCTGTGGGAAGATGGAGGGCAGAGAAGAGAAAGCGCTTCTTGGTGCGGTGCACAGTCAGGCCTGCGGAACTCCCTGCCACTTTAGGCCAGGCTGGGACCAGGGCAGGGAGGAAGAGGAGGGGCTCCGGGTGGCCTCATGCAGGAGGGCTGAGCTTTTGTCTCCCCAGCGATGCTGCTGAATCCCAGTTGCTGGAAGGAAGCGCAGGGGGAGAGAGGGGGGGCTCTTGCGCCCCAGTCCCGCTTGAGGCTTGGGGGCTTCCTATTGAGGCCCCAGGGGGAACAGGAGGGGGGAATCTGGAGGGCTCCTCTCCTGCTCCGATGCTGAGCTCCTCAGTTGGAGTGAAGCTTCCCTACCACCACTTGTGAATCAGACAAGGGAGTCATCGGGACTCCAGGCTGACACTCATGTGCCCATTCAGACATGCAGCCGCGCAGGTGTTCAGGGGGTCTTCAGAGACTGAACAGAAAGCCCTGCTGAGAAGCACTGGAGGTCTCCCCATCCCAGGAAACTGAGGCAGGAGAGGCCCTGCTGGAAAGAGGAGCAGGATCCCCTGGAAAGACTCTCTCAGGGATGCTTGAGTTGAGATTCCTGCATCGCAGCGGGTGGGGCTGGATGACCCTCAGGAGCCCCTTCCAAACCTACAGTTCTCTGACCCCAGAGCCAGTGGAGGATGGAAGTTTTTAAATGTTTCTTTATATGTTGGAAGCCTCCCAGAGTGGCTGGGGGAACCCAGTCAAATGGGTGGGGTATAAATAGAATAATCATAATAATCATAATAATAATGGAGTAGGAGGGTCCTATATTCATTAGAGAAATGTTGGAGGGTATGCAGTCAATCTTCTTTTGAAAGATCTGGACTTTGAACAATCTTTTCGCGTAATTAAAAGTAATCCTGCCTTTGCTCTGCTAAGTACCGTATTTTTTGCTCTATAAGACTCACTTTTCCCCTCCTAAAAAGTAAGGGGAAATGTGTGTGTGCGTCTTATGGAGCGAACGCAGGCTGTGCAGCTATCCCAGAAGCCACAACAGCAAGAGGGATTGCTGCTTTCACTGCGCAGCGATCCCTCTTGCTGTTCTGGCTTCTGGGATTCAGAATATTTTTTTTCTTGTTTTCCTCCTCCAAAAACTTGGTGCATCTTGTGTTCTGGTGCGTCTTATAGAGCGAAAAATACGGTACTTTGCAGGATGGAAATGGTGATGGTGATGATAATTCTTCAATAATAATAATAATAATTCCACTGCATCGTTTTTTCTTTTTAAATATTTTCTTTTAAAGATGTTTTGTTTGCATTCATACCAATATAACAAAACAATATATTTTGGAGGTTCTTGACCCCTGGACTTCCCCCCACCCCCTCTACATTATTTTCTCTGTGCTCGGCTGAGGTGCCTGTGGCTCAGCTATTCATGCCTGTTGCTTGGGAATTTTAGGCCTACTCCTGGTTCCCGCATTTAATAATAATAATAATAATAATAATAATAATAATAATAATAATAATAATTATACCCTACCTGTCTGAGTAGGTTTCCCCAGCCACTCTGGGCAACTTATTCTGCTGGGCTAAGTCATTACCTAAAAGTATTTGCACATCTATCTCTTCCCAGACTCCTCTTGGGGGGGTTATTGGTTTTTGTTGTTTTTATTATATATTTTGTGTTTTTAATATTGTGATTTTATGTTGTGAGCACCCTGAGACCTTTGGATATAGGATGGTATACAAATTAAACAAATTAATTTGATTAATTTGATCAGCAAAGTGTTGAATTGAGCCTCATCATAATCCTACATATTTTTATTTATGTGTTTGTAAGTTGTCCCTGCAGCTATGAATGAAAACAAATAAAGGCACTAGAGGACTAATCTGCATAGTATTATTATTATTTTAAAATCCAAAGTTCACCAGCTAAGAAACTGGTTTCTCTGGTGGCAGATAGAAAAATGAAGTATAACTTGTATTCGCATCCTTGGTGGAACTGTCTCCTCTTAAACAAAATCTGCCCCAACATTTAAAAAAACCGCACCAGAGTTTCTGAGCTCCTCTCGGCAGCTTCCAAATGCAAGAATAATCAGATTTAAGGCATTTGTATTCACTTGTGTGAATGTGGGTTCAGGCAGACACAAGTGGGAATAGTTCCTGCCATTTCATAAAATGAAAATCAATTAAATGAATAATGAAATAATAATAATAGTTCCTGCCTCCTTTGCCTCAGCCTCCAGGCCACCACCATTTCCCTGCCAGATTCTGGCCTCTCTTTGCACCATCTTGGCCCTCAGATCCCTCAATCCCCTTAGCTCCTCCTCCTGGGCTGCCATTATTATTATTATTATTATTAATAATAATAATAATAATAATTGCATTTATAGTCCTCCCCATAGCTCTCTCCCCGGCCGGCTCTGCTCCGCTTGACCAGCGTCTCTGAAGCGATTTCCGTTTTCTCCCCTTTCCAAGTCCTTTCCAAACCGAGCAGAAAGGCGGCTTCTTCTTCCCTGCCTTTTCCCGCCTGGTCTCTGGGAATTTCCCCTTTTTCCCCCTGAGGGAATTCATTTCTCCCTTCTCTGCCTTCATCTCCTGTGCCTGAGGGACATTTCTTTTGGGGCCTCTTTCTGCATCTTCCGCCTGAGTTTTGGCTCACAATATTTGACGTTTTCTCTTCAGCGCAGCCTCTTTTTCCTTGTCCCCCTTTTTCCCGCCAACTGAATCTCTTTCCTTCAAAGCCTGAGCTTCTCTGTCAGGTTTGGCTTTCCTCCATTTTGTCTCCTGACTGAAATTCCCTCAGAGGTTTTTCCCTCCGTTTCTGCTTCCCTTCAGGAGTCCTGGGTCACGGTGGGGCCTTCTCCTCACAGAACTCTCTTTCCCTCACAAAAGAGACAACTTTCTGCAGTAATTCATTCTCCTCCTGAGTTAGACTTCCTGTCATGACTCTTCCACCATTTGAGGCAAACCCTCCAACTCTCTATGACTCCTAAAGATATATATATTTTTCACCACCACAGGTTCTCTCTTGGATTTTGTGTGAGGGAAACCTTGCATGCTTGGAGACTCAGGGAGACGTTGAACGGATAAGAAAGGTTTTATTTACAAAATCAAGTTGGTAAAACAAAGAAGGGTCAGGAGTTGTGTCCTTTCAGGAAACAGTGAACTTATTAATGACACGAAACCTAAAGAGCTTTCAGGCATTAAAACAAAGTAGTAAATGCACAGCTTCTCTTCAACTTCCCTTGCTAAAAATCAAAGGTAGATGTTCTACTTTCTAGAAGAGGAGGTGAAATGCTTCCCTCGGTTCCTCTTTCCTCCCTCTCATTCCTTTCCTCCGTTATGAGTTTCATCCTTTGGACGCAGCACAGCTTCCTTCTCTGCCGAAAACTGGGGCTCCCTTTCCGTCACTTCCCTCTCTCTTGGCAATCCCACTCCTCAGGGGTTTCCAAATAGCAACGCGTATACGGCTCTGCAAGGGTTAAGCTGTGTAACACTATTATTATTATTATTAATATTATTAATTTATAACCCATGCTTTCCCTTAAGTTCCCCAGGGAAGAGGACACCATTAAAACCATTTCAAACAGGTTGCAGTGACAGAAAGAAACTGAGTTGTCCTTTACTTGCTTTTTAGCACTTTCCCGCCCACAGGAACCTTGGCCTCATGCATGTGGCCCTCAGGGGCTTGGCCAGATCAGGATTCGGCCCTCAGAACAAGGAAAAGGGATCCCACCCCAGGAGTCTGGAGATGTTGGAGATGCAAAGTGCTAGAAGCAGAAATGTGTCCTGGGAGGGAGAGCAACTCTTGAGGAGCCCAGGATGAGGACCCTCAAGAGAGACTAGTGTCCACACTTGGAACAAATGATTCACTTCTCCATCACCGTTCTGGCTTCTATCCCTGGGCTGAAAACACCGAGAGGCAGGAGCCACCAGGCTCATTCGTCTGCCAAAAATCTCTTCCGTTGCCTCCACATTTGGCCTGGTCACTTTCCTTCCAGGAGGGCAAGAGGATTTCTTCTTCTCCTTTCTTCTTCCTTTCCTTCTTTAAGAAAGCTCAGAGTCTGGCCTGTGATGTAGTCATACTCTGGTTCCTAGCAAGACTCATCCACACTTGCTCAAAGAACCGTTCTATTCTCCTGACAGCGGGTCAATTTTATAACAGAACAATATATTTCCTTTGTAGAGTTTGCCAGCACCTCTAATTGAGACAGGCAGAACTTGGCCAAAGAAATGATGGATTCCTTCCTAAAGATGGATGAACAAGACTCATCTGGCCCTGGAGCAGGAAGAGGTCATGCTATGGAAACTGGGAGCAGTGGGGGATTCTGGGAAAGCTCTGGGCAGAAGATCCTGGGAGAGGAGGACACCCTTCGCTCAGAGGCGCAGAGCCGGCAGTTCAGGTGGTTCTTCTCCCAGGAGGCCAAAGGACCCCGTGAGGTTTGCAGCCGACTCCACCACCTTTGCCACCAGTGGCTGAAGCCAGAAAGGCACACGAAAGCTGAGATGCTGGACCTGGTGATCTTGGAGCAGTTCCTGGCTGTCCTTCCAGCGGAGATGGAGAGCTGGGTGAGGGAATGCGGAGCAGAGACCAGTTCCCAGGCAGTGGCCCTGGCCGAAGGTTTCCTCCTGAGTCAGGCGGAGGAGAGGAAGCAGGTGAGAGAGACTTTCCTCCGGATGCTCCCAAGGGGCTCCAACAGGAGGGAGAAGATCCCTAAATCCCATTCTTTTTTTTTGCCCCAGCCATTCCTTCTCAAACCCATCTCCACGTTCTCTAATTGCTCATCCTTTTCCCTTTTTTAAACATTCTCTACATTCTCTATTACAAATTCTTGTTGCTCTTTCAGGAAAGGGATCTGTTGGCAGAAACGGGACCAGATTCCTCTGAGGCAGAGAGGACTTCGTTGGACACCAGAGAGAAGCCGCTGGGTAAGGAGGAAGGAAGTTTTTCTTCTTTTGATTCCATTCTGTTGATTCTGAAACTAATCTTTTGGGAGAAGCCACTTGGGGCCCAGAGGCCAAAGGAGATCAGATCTATTTGAACATAACTAAAATATGAAATGGGGACAAACTCCCAAATGCACCTCTGAGAGAAGCATCCTGCACTCCTGTCTCCCCACTTCCCTTTGTCTCTCGCAGGTGAAAGAAGGATGCCGGCAAGACCTCCTCCTCCATCTCTTCCTCCTGGTGGAGGGGAAGCAGCGGCTGAGGAACCGGATCAGGTGCGGGGAAGGAGCCTTGGGGGGGGGGGGAAAGGATGAGGGGTGAGGGTCAGAGGGCATTTCTGAGACAGAACAAATCTCTCCCCTCCGCATTGCTTCTGTCAAAGCTGCCCTTAACAAAGGCTGAAAATGCCATTAATGAAGGGTTATGCTCTGAGGATAATGAGTTGCCAAATCACCTTAACTCTGAATGTCGTTAGTATTATTTCTTACAAATTGCCTTTAGGACATCTGGATAGTCTTTTCATTCCAGAACAAAACTTAGGGAGAGGAGAGAGGGATTCTTCCATTTGGCAAACTGGAACACTTGCACAGACATATGGAGTTCAATAAAATAAGCACCAATAATCAGAATGTGCGGCAGACCAATCCGATTAGAACAACCCAGGCAGGAAGCAAAAGAGCAACATGCAGGAAATGATTTTTATGCTGCCTAAGAGAAGGATCTTTTTCTTTCAGAGCTCAGTTTCTTTTGAAGATGTTGCTGTTTGTTTCACGGCTGAGGAGTGGGCGTTGCTGGATCCTGCCCAGAGAGCTCTGCATAAGGAAGTCATGGAGGAGACTTGTAGGACCATGATCTCTCTGGGTAAAGTTCCCTCTTGGGTCATCATATCTGCTTTGGAATTCAATAGATATTTCTCTGGGACAAACCTCCCATATTTGGATGGATCCCAACGTTGCCACCTAGAGCAATTGGGATTCTCACACCCCCACAGCTCACCTGGCATGGAGGGCTGGGGACTGTTTTTTTCTGTGGATATTGTTCCTCTGCTTCTCTCTTTTTGCACAAGGATCAGGATGTGGATAGGCTTTCTGATTGTTTTGAAACAATCAGTTGTTCCATATCCAGTTCTAAACTGTAGCTTCTGGCTTAGGAACAGCTTTCTTTCTTTCTTTCTTTCTTTCTTTCTTTCTTTCTTTCTTTCTTTCTTTCTTCCCTTCATACAGTTGTAAAGCTATGGACTTTTCTTCATCTACTGCTGACTCAGGTTTTTCCCCAACAGATTCTGTCCATTCTCTCATCTGCAGTCTCTCAAACCTCTCCAACCATTCTGCACATTTCGTCTCTTAGCTGTTGGGTATGACATATAAAAAATCAAAAGGCATTCATTGTTATTTTTGCTATGATTTACTAATTATGATCTATTAGTTCTCCTCCCTTGACTGTCTCTGCTTCTCTGCACTTTATTTCACATAGAAAAAACAAACAGAGAACGGAGATTTACAAACAGTGTAGATTTGAAGCTAAAGGCAAAGTTTCAGAACTATATATTCATTTTAATCTTTTGAAATCAGCAGTACTTAGTTTTGAGCTTTTTTGAGATATTTTCCAGACCCATTTAGAATTCTGTCATTACCCAGTAGTTTAATTCTCCCCTGCACCCTAGGTAATTGGTAGAGAATCCAATTCATATTCAAAAAGACTTCTGACCTTGCAGATGGAGTTGGTTTGATGATTGAGTCAAAGAAATTTCATCCCAAACAAGAACAAGCTTTTTGAATCTGAATTTCCCATAAATATTTCTTTCTTAGGCTCTGATTTGTTCCTCTCTTCATTGCAGTTGATGATGAATCAGAAATTAAGAACAAGGGACAACACAACAAAATCCACACAGTGGACAAGCCATATCAAGATTTGGAGTGTGGGGAGAACTTCAGTCAGAGCTCCCATGCCACTTCCCATCAAAGAAATCCTATTGGGAAGAAACCCTATCCGTGTTTGGAGTGTGGAAAAAGCTTCAGTGACAGCAGCAATCTCGCTTCCCATCAAAGAATTCATACAGGGGAGAAACCATTTCAGTGCTTGTTATGTGGAAAGAGCTTCAATCACAGCTCACATCTCAAAGCCCATAAAAGAATTCATACGGGAGAGAAGCCATATCAGTGCTTGGAATGTGGGAAGAGCTTCAGTCAGAGCAGCCCTCTCACTTCTCATTTAAGAATTCATACAGGGGAGAAACCATATCAATGTTTGGAGTGTGGAAAGAGTTTCAGTCGGAAGAATAGTCTTACTTCCCATCAAAGAACTCATACAGGAGAGAAACCATATCAGTGCTTGGAATGTGAGAAGTGCTTTACTACAAGAAGTGACTTTCATCAACATAAGAGAATTCACAGTGGGGAGAAACCATATCAGTGCTTGGAATGTGGGAAGAGCTTCAGTCAGAGGGCCAATCTTACGTCCCATCAAAGAATTCATACAGGGGAGAAACCATACCATTGTTTGGAATGTGGGAAGAGCTTCAGTCGCAGCTCTTATCTCACTTCCCATCGAATAATTCATAGATGGGAGAAACCATATCAGTGCTTGGAATGTGGAAAATATTTCACTACAAGCAGATACTTCCGTCTACATCAGAGGATTCACAGTGGTGAAAAACCATATCAGTGCTTGGAATGTGGAAAGTTCTTCACTACAAGCAGATACTTCCATCGACATCGGAGTATTCACAGCGGAGAGAAACCATACCAGTGTGTGGAATGTGGAAAGAGCTTTTCCAGGAAGGACAGTCTCACTTCTCATCAAAGAATTCATACAGGGGAGAAGCCGTATCAGTGCTTGGAATGCACAAAGTGCTTTGCTGCAAGAAAAGAGTTATGGCGACATAAGAGAATTCACACTGGGGAAAACCATTTCAATGCCAAGAGTGCGGAAAGAGATTCACCTTCAAGCAAACTCTCACTTCCCATCAAAGAATTCACACAGGGAGAAACTATATCAGTGCTTGGAATGTGGAAAGAGCTGGAAGGAAATCTCACTTCCCATGAAAGAACTCACAGCAGGGGAAATCCTGGAATTATAGAATAGTAGCTTTGGGAGGAATCTTGAGGGTCATCTAGTCTAACCAACTGCAATGCATCTTCTTGATGTTTAGTCAGAATCTCCTTTCTTGTTCTGTTCTTGTGGGGTCACATGGTTCTTCACCTCCTTTTCAATCATGAGAATAACTGTGAGTTAGGTTAGGCTCCCCAAGGTCTCCCAGTGAGCTTCATGGCCAAGGAGGGATTTGAACCCAGGTCTCCCAGGGTGTAGTCGAATCCTGTAGGCCAGGGGTGGCCAACTTCCAAGAGACTGCGATCTACTCACAGATTTAAAAACTGGCAGTGATCTACCCCCATTTTTAGGGGTTCAGGTCAAAGCCCCATTTTTAGGGGAGTTGGTTAGCTTTTTGGGGGAGGGGGTGCAACATTTTTACATTATTTTGGGGTCAAAGAGAAACAGTAGCTCACCAAAGGATGACATCAGGGCAGGGCAAGGTAGCGATCAACAACGATCTACCAAAACCTCGTGATCGACCTGTTGGACATCCCTGCTCTAGGCAATATACTACACTGGCTCTCCCATGAGACTCTTAGAAATTGTTTGTGCATGTCTGGTGTTTGTATTTAAAGTTGTATACTCCTCCAGCAAAGTAATTTATGTAATAATAGTAAATCAACTAATATAATAGATTTAAGGTAATATTAGCTGGGGGGAGGGGCTGTTGATTGGCTGAGAGTTTGGAAGTGTGTTTAAGTAAGTACAACTTAACAGTCAGGCCTTTGGCCAATTAAATGTTATCCTTTTAAGTCTCTTTGTGGGAGGAGAATATTGGTATGTTTCATTTTTGTTTTTATTATGTACCATATTTTTTGCTCCATAAGGCGCACCTAGTTTTTAGAGGAGGAAAATATGGAAAAAAATATTCTGAATCAAATGTTGCACTAAACTATTTAAAGCAGCAAAGCGGGCGGCTCCTGTCCGCTTTGCTGCTTTAAATCGAGCCTCAGAGGAGGGTAGGAAGGGGAACCATGGCTTATCTAAGTCCAGTTAATAATGCTGAGCCTGACTTTATATGCATCTCCAAAAGCCCTTCACATATATACATTATAATGACAAGCTGAGATAGGCCTCCTGCAGAGGAGCAGGGGAGGGAGCCATCATAGCTCAATGGGGAGAGCATGGAGAAGATCCCAAGTTCAGTCCTTGAAAGCTTCTCCGGGTAGGGCTGAGGGTGGGTATCCTGAAACCCAGGTGAGCCTCTGCCCATCAGTGAAGACAAAACTGAGCTCAATGGGCTCAGGGGTCCTGACGTGGTACAGGGAAGGTCCCTCTGTTCCTGTTTAAATTAGCCTTTTCTTCAGAACCATGAGGACTACAATCTTAGTTTTTTTAAAAAGGGAACAGCTGTAACCTCAGCTGTAACCACACGTTCAATCCCCGGCTTCTCCAGGCCTGAAACCCTGGCAAACTTCTGCCAGTCAGTGTTGCCATTACTAAGCTAGATGGAGTAGTGGGTCCGACTCCTTATAAGGCAGCTTCCTAGGTTCCCATTTTCGCTTCAGATCTGAGTGTGAGGCTTGCTGTCATGTTTAGTGTGGGGCGGATGGTTCTTTGCACATCTGGAAGGTCCCACCACCCTCTTGAAGGTGCTTTTACAGCTCAGGGAAAAGGGCAGGCAGCCACAGCATCTGTAGACTGTAGCATCCTGAATTAAGGGAGGGAGGGATTCCCCTTGCACCCAAAGGATTGTTGGAGGCCACCATGAAAGAGCTGATCTTCAGCTTGAAACCAGGACTTGCTCTTTAACCATGCTGCTCCTCCAGCTGCCAATGCCATCCATGTGTGTGCATATTTTCATCTTTAAATAAACAGCCCGTGCAAGTTTCCAGCTCTTATGGCCATCAAGATTAGCCTGGCCGTCTCAGTGGAAATCTGGGGAGGCTGAGGTGGACTTTCCAGTGGTCAAAGTGTGCTTGTGTCTTCCTGCCCAACATCTATTTCCTGCCCTCCCCCCCCCCCCGCACCCTGCTTCGGAGCAAGCCACGGAGGAGGGAAGGAAGCGGAGCCATGGATCCTCTGCTCGCAACTGCAGCAGATTCCCTCCGCTTTGAAGCAGGAAAGTGGGAGAGGAGCTGCTTACACGAGTGTAAGCTGCTCCCCTCCCACTTTCCTGCTTCAAAGGGAGCCCGGGAGGAGGGAATCCGCTGCAGCCACTTCCCTCCTCCGTGGTTGCTTTGAAGCAGGAAAGTTGGAGAGGAGCTGCTTCCACCTGCTTCCACGCTTTACGGGTGTAAGCAGCTCCCTTCCCACTTTGCCAGAAAACAGGGAATTGTGGTTACGTCCTCAACAGAAGCTGAGTACTGTGCATTAGCAGAACTATGTAACAAAATGAAATATTATGTACAGATCCTCAATGACTTAGGTGTGAAATGTAATTATCCAGTACAAGTGGGGGAGGATAATTAAGCAGTAATCTCATTGGTGGGTTCTGAGCAGTTTAAAGGCAAAACAAAACATATTGAAATTAAATATCAGAATGTAAAATAAAATGTGAAAGAAAACCTGATAATGTTGAAGTATTGTGCAAGTAAGCAAAACACTGCAGACATTTTTTACAAAACCTGTCACGTTTGAAAAACATGCAGAACTGGTCACAATGCTGGGAACTGTATTACATGATATGTGAATATGTTTGTATATGTTTCATAATCCTGCATCTGTTTCTGTTCGAATGAGAAGGGGTGTTAGGAATACATTCTTTAAAGAAACAGATAAGGTTCCTTTAAGTTAAAAAAGCATTACAGCAGTTTCTTCAATGTGTGGGAGTAACAGTTTAACTGGAGTCAGCTGGAGATGCAGTTAAAAGGAGAAGCTGTGAGTTTGCAATTTGAGGCAGGATTGTTTATCATAAGATTAAAAGTATACCATGCCAATGAAGGAGAAGAACTGTAAATAGTTTTGTAAATAGTAGCAACTAACATGTTTGTAGTACCTGAAAATGTTTGCATAAAGTAATTCTTCACTGTGCATCCGAGTGTGTCTGCAGTTCTGTCGTCTGCCGCCAGGGAAACTCTGCTAGAGCTTTGGGAAGCAGTTATAGTCAGTAACCTCTAATACCCTGTTCGATCATAAAATACATTTTGAAATTCCATACATAAATCTCTATGTGATGAAGCTTCCAGATTTTGATAGAGCTCAACAGCACACCTTTGGCCCCAGGGATTCAAATCCCCCCACAGCACACTTTGCATGGATGTTTGTAAAGGCTGTTTGCTAAACACAATAAACCAAACGGACTCACTTTGCATGGAGGGCCATCTACTGATTTGTTGTGAATATGCTTCCTCCAGTTATGCCTTTTTAAACAAGGATCAGGCTGGTCCGAACTGCCCAGCCCTTTTTAAAATGTGGGCTTCAGAGTGGTTAGGGAAATGGAAGTAGCTTCTGGCAGATTTTTTTTATTTTGGCTGTGTGTTTCTGGTTGACCCAAAAAGATGGCTGGCATAAGAGGTGGAGCAGATTTCATAGCTGGGCCAAACAAAATCCATCCCAGAAAATAGGCTTTTCAAATCTCAGGTTGCCATAAAGATGTCCCTGAATGCCTGTCAACAAAGGCAATGAACCCTGAAGTAACACCCTCTGATCTAACTCCTCTCAGTTCTTCCTCTCACAAGCGTTAATGAGCATTTTTCAATAATTGGCGGCTTCATAGCTTCCTGACGCTCTGATTCATGTCTCATTTCATTGCAGCTGGTGGTAAATTGGAAATTGAGAGCAAAGGAAACCATGAAAAAATCTACATGAGGCAGCCATATGAATATTCAGAGAGTGGAGAGAACTTCACTCAGAGCTCCCATTCTACTTCTGATAAAAGAAATCCCTTTGGGATGAAACCATTTAAGTGCTTGGAATGTGGAAAGAGCTTCACCCACAAGAAAAGTCTCACTTCCCACCAAATAATTAATAAAGGGCAGAAACTGTCCTTAGAATGCACAATGGGCTTTACTGCAAGAAAAGCACTTCTGTGACATCAAAGACTTCACAATGGGGAAAAACCATTTCAATGCCAAGAGTGCGGAAAGAGCTTCGCCTTGAAGCAAACACTCACTTCCCATCAAAGAATTCATATGACAGAGACACCCTAATAGTGCTTGAAATGTGGAAAGAGCTTCACCTGGAATGAAAGTTTCACTTCCCATCAAATAACTTGCAGCCGGGAATGTAATAGAGTTATAAGATTGTAGTGTTGGAAGGGACGCTGAGGATCATCTAGTCCAATCCCTGGCAATGTTGTGATGTAGTGCCTGATCCTCAAGATTGCCCAGTGATCTTCATGGCTGAGAAGAGATGCCAGATTTAAAATTATATTATGAGGCATCCTGTCTCTGCTGGCTAAAGGAATGGATAACATTGAAAAGTACAGATATTTTAGACCTGGAAGGTCACGATAATAGATTTGGAATAGATTTGGATTGCTTGCATATTTATGATATGAGAAGACCAAAGACATTTTATTTGTAAAATCTAATAAAAAATACTTATAAAAAAGAGAATGGATTTTAATACTACTACTAAGGTAAAGGACCCCATGACGGATAAGTCAGGTGACTATGGGGTTGCGGCGCTCATCTTGCTTTCAGGCCGAGGGAGCTGGCGTTTGTCCACAGATAGCCAGGATGACTAAACTGCTTCTGGGGCAATGGAACACCGTGGTGGAAACCAGAGTGCACGGAAATGCCATTTACCTTCACGCCACAGTGGTACCTATTTATCTACTTGCACTTGGCGTGCTTTCAAACTGCTAGGTTGGCAGGAGCAGGGACCGAGCAACGGGAGCTCACCCCATTGCGGGGATTCGAACCGCTGACCTTCTGATCAGCAATTGCAAGATGCTCAGTGGTTTAGACCACAGCGCCACCCGCCACCTACTACTACTAATAATAATATTTGTGTTTTTGTTGTTAAATTTATACCCCACCCATCTGGCTGGGTTTCCTGAGCCACTCTGGGAGCCTTACAGTACATATAAAAAATTATAAAACATCAAAAACTAAAAACTTCCTGATACAGGACTGCCTTCAGATTTCTTCTAAAAGTTGTGTAGTTCTTTATCTCCTTGACATCTGAAGGGAGGGTGTTCCACAGGGCAGGTGCCACTGCTAAGAAGACCCTCTGCCTGGTTCCCTATAACCTCACTTCTCGCAGTGAGGCAAGCAGCAGAAGTCCTTTGGAGCTGGACCTCAGTGTCTGAGCTGGACGATGGGGGTGGAGACGCTCCTTCAGATATACTGGACCGAGGCCGTTTAGGGCTTTAAAGGTCAGCAGCAACATTTTGAATTGTGCTCGGGAACATACTGAGAGCCAATGAAGATCATTTAGGACCAGTGTTATATGGACCCAATGCCCACTCCCAGTCCCCAGTCCAGCTGCCGCATTCTGGATTAGTTGTAGTTTCCGGGTCACCTTCAAAGGTAGCCTCACATAAAGCGCATGGCAGTAGTCCAAGCAGGAGGTAACTAGAGCATGCACCTCTCTGGCGAGACAGCCTGTGGGCAGGGAGGGTCTCATCCTGCGTTCCAGATGGAGCTGGGAGACAGCTGCCCTGGACACGGTGTTGACCAGCATCATCCAGGTCTTGCCCTCAATGAGACTCTGGGAAGTTGTGCCTGCATTTGTGTCTGCTTAAAATTTGTGTCTGCTTAAAATTGGACCACCTTCCCGCTGGTCAACATCTTTCTTAAATTGTTTTGCCCTGAACTGGACACAGTATTCCAGGTGTGGTCTGACCAAGTCATAATGGTGCAGTACTATGTCTTCCCTTGATCTGGACACTGGACTTCTGTGGACGCTGCCTAGAATAGCATTCGCTTCTTCTCAGCTGCATCACACTGTGAACTCAGGTGGAGCTTGTGGTCCACCAAGACCCCTAGATCTTTTTCACATGCACTGCTATGTCCCCCATCCTATAGTTCTGCATCTGGTTCTTCCTGCCTAAGTGCAGAATCTGACCTTTGTCCCTATGGAAATTCATTTTGTCAGCTTGCCCCCAGTTCTCCAATCTGTAAATGGTAATCTTGATTCCTGATTCTGTCCTTTGTGCCTTCCCTCCCAGTTTGGTGTTATCTGCAAACTGGACGAGCATCCCCTCAATTCCTCCATCCAAGATTGACAGATGGAGCCACAACAGGCCCCGGACAGAGCCCTGGAGCCCCCCCTGGTCACAACTCTAAGGCGTTACCTCATGGGGGGTACAGTCGCCTCTCCTCTTCAAATTTTTTTATTGATTTGTTCCATGAGAAAATAAAAGCAAGCTAGCACACAAATAAACGAGAGAGAATAGCGCACAAAGAAAAGAATAGCGAAGAAAAGAAAAAGAAAGAATACATAAAATTGTAGTTTTTACATCAACAATTTACATAACCATCCTTTTCGAGACTTCCTTCAGCTTGTCCGTAAATCATTCGTAGTAATAATTAGAGTTACGCATTTCCTAGCTTATATTGTCATTATACATTTCTCTGTCTCCTATTTTCTTTGGACAATAACTCTTAATCTTTCACAGTGCGTCTCTGAATCCCTTTAGCATTGTTTGCCCCTCACTAATATATTCCAGATAGTCTACATACTTTCCCCAATCCTTGATGAACTTTTGGTCTCTTATATACCTGACTTTTCCTGTCAATTTATCCAGCTCCGCGTAGTCTAACAGCTTAATCTCCACTCCTCTACCGTTGGTATTTCCTGCTGTTTCCACTTCTGGGCTAATATTACCCTTGCTGCTGTGACTGCATAGTATACTAATCTACGATCCATCTTTTTTATCTCGTGCCCTAATATCCCTAATAGGAAAATTTCTGGTTTCTTTATGAACGTATATTTTAGGATCTTCTTTAGTTCAATGTATATTTTTTCCCAAAACTGTTTCACTTTTCCACACTCCCACCACATGTGGTAAAAGGAACCCTCTTTATCCTTGCATTTCCAGCACTTATTATCCACCTTATACATTTTCGATAATTTCACAGGTGTTAAATACCACCTGTAGAACATCTTCATGACATTTTCCTTTATCGTTATACATGCCGTAAAGTTTAGCCCATCCTTCCAAAGTTTCTCCCAGTCCTCGAATTGTATACTATGACCTACGTCCCTAGCCCAGCGAATCATTACCGATTTGACTTCCTCATCCCCTAAATTCCAGTCCAACAGCATCCTATACATTTTAGATATTATTTTCACTTCGTTGTTTATAATCTCCATCTGAAATTTGGAATCTTTGTCTGCATAGCCACTTTCTTTGATATCTTTTCTAAACATCTCATTAACCTGAAAATGATGTAGCCAATCATATACATGCTCCTTGACTTGCTCGTATGGTTTTAGTTTCCATTTCCCATCTTCCTTGATTAGTAGTTGACTATATGTTGCCCAATTACTTCTCATATTAATAGTCTTCACACTCATTATTTCAAGAGGTGATAGCCAATGTGGTGTTTTAGATTCTAGCAAATTTTTGTACTTTTCCCATATTTCAATTAGTGGCCCTCTAAAAATATGGTTTTCAAATCCCTTATGTACACAGTCGCCTCTCCTCATGAAGGATGTTTGGGGAGTTGGAAAAGGTTCAGAAAAGGGCTGCCAAAATGATCAAGGCAGACTTGGCTATGAAGAAAGGTTGCAGCCTTTGGGGCTCTTTAGACTTTAGAGCAGGGGTTCCCAATTAGCTAATTACTGAGCCCCCCTCATTTTCAAAAGCCAAGCCTGGACTAGAGTAAATGGAAGGAGAGTTGCATCTCCTGACAGTGGAACTCAAAGACATCCAAGGAGTCGGGATGTTGGAAGATTCAGGACAGATAAAATTAAACACAAGGCAGAGTTCACCTGTGGAACTCCCCGGCACAGGAGGGAGAGGGAGAGAGGGGGAACTGGCTTGCCAAGGGTTAAAAGGGATTGAGCTGGATTCCTAGAAGGGAGAGAAAATAAAGGCGTTGGGGGGGTTGGGGGGAGAAACACCCGAGCCCAAGCCCCTCCCTCTCCGCCCTGCCTCAAAAGGAGGAGGGGCCTTTGTCTCTCTCTTCTGCACGTGCTGCATCCATGCCGCCTCCGGGGAGCCGGTGAGTCTCTGCATTGGGGGGAAGAGGGGGGTCCCCGGGATGCAGGGGGGGTCCAGTTGCTGGAAGGAAGCGCAGGGGGAGAGAGGGGCTCTTGCGCCCCAGTCCTGCAGGTGTTCTGATATTTGGGGTACCAAATGTGAGCCCCTTGAATTGGGCCAGGAAAACTGGTCAATAAAGCTGCTGTTTGAGAGGGGAATTAGATGTGTTCTCAAGGTGGTGGGGCTTCAGTGAGGAGCCCCCCCCCATGGATGCCCCCTGGAGCTCCTTGGAGAAAAGGGGGAGAGAGAAAGACAAGGAATCAAGAGAGGGGTTCTGCCCGCTGCATTTGGGCAGCTCTGCCTAGAGTGCACTGCCATGGCCTCCTGGGGTCCAGAGCGTGGAGGACCCTGGCTGGAAAGGGATCTTGCTAGTCACTGAGGCCACACAGTGAGTGTGTTGGATCCAGGAGAATCCCCAGACAAAGCTGGCTGTGGGGAGCTTAACTACATCACAGTATTATTATTATTATGGTTATGATTATCATTATCATTATTCATTACCCGCCCTTCACCGTAAGCCCCCACAGCAGTTGACAACATTAAAATGCTAATTAAAATTCAGTGATAAAACTCAATATTGCACTTGCTTCTTAGTGCTGTCCTTTGGTCCATCCCACATGAACTTTGGCCTCGCCCATTTCATCCTCAGGGGCTTGGCCAGATCAGGATCTGACCCTCAGAACAGATAAAAAGGGATCCCACCCCAGGAGTCTGTCTGGAGGACGTTGGAGATGCAGAGTGCTAGAAAACGAGACAGAAAAGGAGAGTGCCCTGAAATGGGGGTGGGAGGGAGAGCAACTCTTGAGGAGCCCCACTCTAGCCTAGTGCCCACATTACACTCGGAACAAAGGAATCATTGTTCTGACTTCATTCCTGGGCTGAAAACACTGAGAGGCAGGAGCCACCAGGCTGATTCATCTCACAGAAACCGCTTCATTTGCCTCCATCTGCCCTGGTCACTTTCCTTCCAGGAGGGCAAGAGGATTTCTTCTTCTTACTTCTTCCTTTCCTTCTTCAAGAAAGCTCAGAGTCTGGCCTGGGGTGCAGTCCAGCCCTGGTTCCTAGCAAGACTCATCCACACTTGCTCAGGGGACCTTCTTCTTCTGACCGTGTACCAATTTCCTAAAAGCAATGTGTTTGCTTTGCAGTATTTAGCAGCACCTCTAAATCAGACAGACAGAACTTGGTCAAAGAAAAGATGGATGAGGAAGACTCAGCTGGCTCTGGAGTAGGAAGAGGCCATGCTATGGAAACTGGGAGCAGTGGGGGATTCTGGGAAAGCTCTGGGCAGAAGATCCTGGGAGAGGAGGACACCCTTTGCTCAGAGGCGCAGAGCCAGCAGTTGAGGCAGTCCTGTCACCAGGAGGCTGAAGGACCACGAAAGGTCTGCAGCCAACTCTACCGCTTTGACCATCAATGGCTGAAGCCAGAAAGGCACACGAAAGCTGAGATGCTGGACCTGGTGATCTTGGAGCAGTTCCTGGCTGTCCTTCCAGCAGAGATGGAGAGCTGGGTGAGGGAATGCGGAGCAGAGACCAGTTCCCAGGCAGTGGCCCTGGCCGAAGGTTTCCTCCTGAGTCAGGCGGAGGAGAGGAAGCAGGTGGAGATGCAGGTGAGAGAGACATTTCTCTGGATGCTCCGAAGGGGATCCAAACAGGAGGGAGAAGATCACTTTATCCCATCCTTTTTTGGGAATGACATTGGATACTGCTCAGGTTTTTGTCCCAGCCATTCCTTTTCTCACCCATCTCCACATTCTCTATTACAAATTCTTGTTCCTATTTCAGGGAAAGGATCTGTTGGCAGAAACGGGACCAGATTCCTCTGAGGCAGAGAGGACTTTGCTGGATACCAGAGAGAAGCCTCTGGGTAAGGAGGAAGGAAGTTTTCTTCTTTTGATTCCATTCGGTTGATTCTGAAACTAATCTGTGGGTTTTGTCAGTGTTTTGGGGATGACACTTGGGCCAAGAGGCCAAAGAAGATCAGATATATTTTAGCATAACTAAATTATGAAAGTAGATAGGTAGCCGTGTTGGTCTGTTCTTGGTATGAGCTTTCGTGTGCATGCACACTTCTTCAGATACACTGAAACAGAAGTTGCCAGATCCTTCTATATAGTGAGAAGGTGGGGAGGGGTGTTACTCAGAAGGGTGGTGGGAATGGGAGATAGGCAGATAGCTGGGAGAGCCTCTTGACGACTCTTAACGACTGTAATAGGTCTTACAGGAGAAGGCAAGGGGTGAGGAGGTGAGAAATGGTTTAGTCATGTATAGTGAGATAAGAATCCAATGTCTTTGTTCAGCCCAGGTTTTTCCATTGTTTTAAGTTTGGTAATGAGTTGTAATTCAGCAGCTTCTCTTTCCAGTCTGTTTCTGAAATTCCTTTGTAGTAAAACAGCTACTTTGAGATCTTGTATAGAATGTCCTGGGAGATTGAAGTGTTCTCCTACTGGTTTCTCTGTTTTGTGATTCTTGATGTCAGATTTATGTCCGTTTATTCTTTGGCGTAAGGTTTGGCCTGTTTGTCCAATATAGAGAGCTGAAGGACACTGTTGGCATTTGATGGCATACACAATGTTAGACGATGAGCAATTAAATAGTCCCGAGATGGTATGTGTGATGTTGTTGGGGCCAGTAATGGTGTTGTCCGGGTGTATGTGGCAGCAAAGTTGGCATCTGGGTTTATTGCAGGCTCTGGTGCCAGTGTCTGTGTTAAGTCTGGTTGTAGTATTATTGTGGGTTAGGAGTTGTTTAAGATTGGGTGGCTGTCTGTAGGCAATGAAAGGTCTTCCTCCCAGAGCTTGAGAAAGAGAACTGTTATTGTCCAGGAGAGGTTGTAGATCTCTGATGATGCATTGTACTGTTTTAACTTGGGAGCTGTATGTGATGACTAGAGGTGTTCTGTTATTTTCTTTTTTGGGTCTGTCTTGCAGCAAGTTCTCTCTGGGTATCAGTCTGGCTCTGTTGATCTGTTGTTTAACTTCATCTGCTGGGTATTTTAGTTCTGAGAAGGTTTGCTGTAGATCTCTTAGGTGAGAGTCTCTGTCTGTAGAGTTGGAACAGATGCGGCTGTAACGTAGTGCCTGGCTGTATACAATGGACTGTTTGGTATGTTTGGGATGGTAGCTGGAGGCATGTAGATATGTTTGTCGGTCAGTTGGTTTGCGGTATAAGGTGGTGTCTATGCGCCCATCCTGTATTTTTATAGTAGTGTCCAAAAAATGTATTTCTTGCATAGATTGATTCATTGTAAGGTTGATTGTGGGGTGAAAATCATTAAATTTCTGGTGAAAGGTGTCCAGGGTCTGTTGACCATGTGTCCAGATGATAAAAATATGGTCAATGTATCGCAGGTACAAGAGAGGTTTGAGTGGGTAGGAGTTCAGGAAACGTTGTTCTAAATCTGCCATGAAGATGTTGGCATACTGTGGGGCCATGCGGGTGCCCATGGCATACTGTGGGGCCATTGCGGGTCCCCATTATGAAATGGGGACAAACTCCCAAATGCACCTCTGAGAGAAGCATCCTGCACTCCTGTCTCCCCACTTCCCTTTGTCTCTCGCAGGTGAAAGAAGAATGCCGGCAAGACCTCCTCCTCCATCTCTTCCTCCTGGTGGAGGGGAAGCAGCGGCTGAGGAACCGGATCAGGTGGGGGGAAAGAGCCGGGGGGGAGGAAGGATGAGGGGTGGGGAAGCCAGGGCATTTCTGGGGGCAAATGAATCCCCTCTTGACTTCTGTCAAAGCTGCCCTTAACAAAGGCTGAAAATGCCATTAATGAAGGTTTAGGCACTGAGGATAAAGAGCAACCCCTTCACCTTAACTCTGAATGTCGCTAGTATTATTCATGATAAATTGTCTTTGGAACATCTGGGGAGTCTTTCCATCCCAGAACAACACACAGGGAGAGGAGAGAGGGATTCTTCCATTTGGCAAACAGACAAATTGATCTGAATAAAACAACGTGGAGTTCATTAATATAAGCACCAATAATCAGAATGTGCGGCAGACCAATCCAATTAAAACAATCCAGGCAGGAGGCAAAAGAGCAACGTGCAAGAAATAATCTTTATGCTGCCTAAGAGAAGGATATTTTTCTTTCAGGGTTCAGTTTCTTTTGAAGATGTCGCTGTTCATTTCACGGCTGAGGAGTGGGCGTTGCTGGATCCTGCCCAGAGAGCTCTGCATAAGGAAGTCATGGAGGAGACTTGTAGGACCATGATCTCTCTGGGTAAAGTTCCCTCTTGGGTCATCATATCTGTTTTGGAATTCAATAGATATTTCTCTGGGACAAACCTGGGATTCTCACACCCCCACAGCTCACCTGGCATGGAGGGCTGGGGACTGTTTTGTCTGTGGATATTGTTCCTCTGCTTCTCTCTTTTTGCACAAGGATCAGGATGTGGACAGGCTTTCTGAGTGTTTTGAACCTTTGCACCAATCAGTTGTTCCCTATCCAGTTCTAAACTGTAGCTTCTGGCTTAGGAACAGCTTCTTTCTTTCTTTCTTTCTTCCCTATTTACATTTGTAAATCTGTGGACTTTTCTTCATCTATTTCTGTCTCAGGTTTTCCCCCCAACAGATTCTGTCCATTCTCTAATCTGCAGTCTCTCTCAAACCTCTCCAGCCATTCTGCACATTTCATCTCTTAGCTGCTGGTTATGGCACATCAAAAATCAAAAGGCATTCCGTGTTATTTTTGCTATGATTTACTAATTATGATTTATTAGTTTTTCTCCCTTGACCATCTCCGCTTCTCTGCACTTATAAAAAGTTACCGTCGGTTTTCAGTCCATTCTGCATAGGAAAAACAAACGTAGAAAGGATATTTATCAACAGTGTAGCTTTGAAGTTAAAGGCAGAGTCTCAGAACTATATATTCATTTTAATCTTTTGAAATCACCAATTGTTAGTTTTGAGCTTTTTTGATCTATTTTCCAAACCCATTTAGAATTCTGTCATTACACAGCAATTTAATTCTCCCCTGGACGCTAGGTAATTGGTAGACAGAGAATCCAATTCATATTCAAATAGAGTTCTGACCTTGCAGGTGGAGTTGGTTCAATGATTGAGCCAAAGAAATTTCACCCCTGAAAAGAACAGGCTTTTTGAATCTGAATTTCCCATAAATATGTCAGTGAAGGTCAGTCAGGCAGTGAACTCTGCAGTAAGACTTCCCATCTAACTCCCTTCAGATCTTCCCTTATCACAAATGTTCATTTGCATTATTCAAAAACTGGGAACTCATTTCTTTCTTGGGCTCTGATCTGTTCCTCTCTTCGTTGCAGATGGTGATGAATTAGAAATTAAGAACAAGGGACAACACGACAAAATCCTCACAGTGGAGAAGCCACATCCAGATTTGGAACATGGAGAGAACTTCAGTCAGAGCTCCCATGCCACTTCCTATCAAACAAATCCTATTGGGAAGAAACCCTTTCAGTGTTTGGAATGTGGAAAGAGCTTCAATCACAGCTCACATCTCAAAGACAATCAAAGAATTCATTCCGGGGAGAAACCATATCAGTGCTTGAAGTGTGGGAAGTCTTTTTCTACAAGCAAATGCTTCCGTCGACATCAGAGGATTCACAGCGGGGAGAAACCCTTTCAGTGTTTGGAATGTGGGAAGAGCTTCTCCAGGAAGGAGAGTCTCACTTCCCATCAAAGAATTCATACAGGGGAGAAGCCGTATCAGTGCCTGGAATGTGAGAAGTTCTTTACTACAAGAAGTAACTTACATAAACACAAGAGAATTCACAGTGGGGAGAAACCATATCAGTGCTTGGAATGTGGAAAGAGCTTCAGTCAGAGGGCAAGTCTCATTTCTCACCAAACAATTCATAAAGGGGAGAAGCCATATAAGTGCTTGCAATGTGGAAAGAGCTTCGGTCGGAGGTCCTATCTCTCGTCCCATGAAAGAATTCATAGAGGGGAGAAACGATATAAGTGCTTGGAATGTGGGGAGTCTTTTCCTACAAGCAAATACTTCCGTCGACATCAGATTATTCACAGCAGAGAGAAACCATACCAGTGTGTGGAATGTGGGAAGAGCTTCTCCAGGAGGGACAATCTCACTTATCACCTCAGAATTCATACAGGGGAGAAACCATTTCAGTGCTTGGAATGCACAAAATGCTTTACTACACGAAATTTATTTCATCAACATCAGAGAATTCACACTGGGGAGAAACCATTTCAATGCCAAGAGTGTGGAAAGAGCTATAGATGGAGATCCCATTTCACTTCCCACCAAATAATTCATACAGGGGAGAAACTATTTCAGTGCCTGGAATGTGAGAAGTTCTTTACTACAAGAAGAGACTTGCAACAACATAAGAGAATTCACAGTGGCGAGAAACCATATCAGTGCTTAGAGTGTGGGAGAAGCTTCAGGCGGAACGACCATCTCACTTCCCATCAAATAATTCATACAGGGGAGAAACCATTTCAGTGTCTGGAATGTGGGAAGAACTTCAATCGCAGGTCATGTCTCACTTCCCATCAAAGAATTCATACTGGGGAGAAACCATATAAGTGCTTGGAATGTGGGGAGTCTTTTCCTACAAGCAAATACTTCCGTCGACATCAGAGTATTCACAGTGGAGAGAAACCGTACCAGTGTGTGGAATGTGGGAAGACTTTCTTCAGGAAGGACAGTCTCACTTCTCACCTCAGAATTCATACAGGGGAGAAGCCGTATCAGTGCTTGGAATGTGAGAAGTGCTTTGCTGCAAGGAGTGACTTTCATCAACATAAGAGAATTCACACTGGGGAGAAACCATATCAGTGCTTAGAGTGTGGGAAGAGCTTCAGTCAGAGGGCCAATCTCCGTTCCCATCAAAGGGTTCATACGGGGGAGAAACCATATCAGTGCGTGGAATGTGGGAAGAGCTTCAGTCGGAGCTCAGGTCTCACCTCCCATCAAAGAATTCACAGTGGGGAGAAACCATATCAGTGCTTGGAATGCAAGAAGAGGTTTACTACAAGCACACACGTCCGTCGACATCAGAAAATTCACACTGGGGAGAAACCATTTCAATGCCAAGAGTGTGGAAAGAGCTTCAGTCGCAGGTCTCATCTCACTTTCCACCAAAGAATTCATACAACGGAGAATCCCAAATAGTGCTTGGAATGTGGAAAGAGCTTCACCTGGAATAAATATTTCACGTCCCATGAAGCATCTGGTGGGGGCTGGGGCCATTTCACCCATCTCAAGGCCTCCACCTGAACTCTCAAAGCATCCCCACCCACCCAGTTTGCATGTGACTAGAGGTGGGCATGACCTCACCTGCCCAGGTAACAAGGAGCAGGACTGGTCAGCCACCTCTCTCTCTCTCTGACTACTTTCATCAAAGAAGCAACATCTGCTTAGCCTAAGATGCCCTCTTGGCTTGTATCCAAGAGAGGACAAAGGGACTGTCTCCTTATGGGATAGTTTCCAGGTGTACATTACTTTTCTAAGCTAAGTCTGCCTTCTGGGATCCAATGGTGAACAGAATGTGAGTGAGTAAATTCTTTTATACTTTTACAGAAGACTGTGTTGTGTCTTATCTTTTATGAGGGACTAAAGGGGACATTACAAATGAAACTTATTATAGAGGCTTTAGCGAGCCTGAGCAAACGCATCTGCTGTGAGTTTAAAAAGGGGGAATGTTACTCTGCTAAATTGTGAACTTGTTAACACAAGTTGGAAAGGATATAATCAAACAATATATCCTCTCCTGCATCCCTGAATATTCCCACACTAACTACCGGCCGGTTGCTCATCTCCCTTTCCTGGGCACGGTTCTGGAGCGGGTGGTTGTGGGCCAGATCCAGGGGTCTTGGAGGAAACTGATTTTCTACATCCATTTCAATCAGGGTTTAGATCCAGTTTTGGCACAGAAACTGCTTTGGTGGCCCTGAATGATGACTTCTCTCAAGAGAGAGACACAGGGGAACATGTCCCTGTTAATTCCCCTCAACCTCTCAGCGGCTTCCGATACAACTGACCATTGTCTCCTTCTGGAGTGGCTGTCCGAACTGGTCCTACTTGGATGGTCATTCCCAGAGGGGGATCCTTGGCAAATGCTTTTCAGACCTTGGCCTCTAGGAGTTTGCTGCTGTGCAGGAGACCGTGATAGCCGTCAACTAGGATGGCTTTCAAAGAGGATGAGACACATTCATGGAGGGGAGGGATATGGAGGCCCCTTCTAGCCAGACGGGACTCTTCCTTCCCAGCTGGAGGCAGCCCCGCTTCTGAGCCTCAGTTGCTGGAATCCCCAGGAGGGGAGAAGAGGGCTCTTGTCTTGGGATCTCGCTTGTGGGTTTGCCATAATGGGCATCTGCTTGGCCACTGTGAGGACAGGAGGCGGGCCCTGTGGGGCCCGATCCAGCAGCTGCGGGACTCTTCCGATGTTCTCCTCAGATGTCAGCCACATTGGAGTTTATTGTGGATTTGAAGCTCCTCCTCTCTTGCCTCAGGATAAATATAAAGGAAGGAGGCGAGGTGTGTCTGGATGGAGAGAACTTCTCCCCGCTTCTCTCCTCATCCTAGACGGTGCTGGAGGGGAGGGTCATAAATCGCAGGGACTCAAAGGGACCCCAAGGTGTGGGAGGTGACCCCCGAGGGCTGGAGCCCGGGGCTGGGCTGGCTCCCTCCGCCATCCCTCCACTTGGCACACACGTGTGCGCCCCCTCCCTCCCTCCCTCCCACACAAACACGCGCGCGCCCTCTGCCGAGGGGGCAGGACCGGCGGGCTTCTGCTGGCCAGAGCCGCTTCTTTTCTGGCGAAGCCTCCCTCTCCGCACAAACCCATTTTCACGTGTCGGGGGGGGGGGGCGGCGCTCTTCCCGCATCCTCCTCCAGTTCCCTTTCCGTCCAGCCAGATTGATGCTGCTGCTGCTGCTGCTGCCGCCGCGCCCACCTCGAAGCTGGACCAGCCGCTCCGGCAATAATGGATACTTTTGTTTAGAGAGATATTTGTGGATATATTTCTAGCCGATTTCGCCCCCGGCTCCGGCCCTGGCTGCTTCTCTGGGCGCGCGCCTGGCAGGCCCCTTGCTCGCCATCCCGCCTCGCCCTTCCCTCCGCCGGCGCGCCTTCGGGAGGGAAGATGGGGTCCCGGTCCGTGGGGAAGAAGGGGGCGAAATAAAGGCAGGCAGCCTCGCGGGAGATACAGGCGGAGCCCGAGGGGGACGCAGCGCGGAACTGGACGCCCCAGAACCGCCGCCTCCCCCCCCCGCCAGCTGCATCACACTGTGAACTCAGGTGGAGCTTGGGGTCCACCAAGACCCCTCGATCTTTTTCGCATGCACTGCTATGTCCCCCCTTCTATAGTTCTGCATCTGGTTCATGCCTATGGAAATTCATTTTGTCAGCTTGCCCCCAGTTCTCCAATCTGTAATGGTAATTCTGTGCCATTAGCTGCCCCTCCCAGTTTGGCGTCATCTGCAAACTGGATGAGCATCCCCTCAATTCCTCCATCCAAGTCGTTTATCGACAGATTGAGCAACAACAGGCCCCGGACAGAGCCCTGCAGCCCCCCCATCCCAAATCTATGGCGTAACCTCATGGGGGGGGCACAGTCGCCTCTTCTCATGATGTTTGGGGAGTTGGAAAAGGTTCAGAAAAGGGCTGCCAAAATGATCAAGGCAGACTTGGCTATGAAGAAAGGTTGCAGCCTTTGGGGCTCTTTAGACTTTAGAGCGGGGTTCCCAATTAGCTAATTACTGAGCCCCCCCCTCATTTTCAAAAGCCAAGCCTGGCCTAGAGAAAGTGGAGGGAGAGTCGCATCTCCTGGCAGTGGAACTCAAAGACATCCAAGGAGTCGGGATGCTGGAAGATTCAGGACAGATAAAATTAAACGCAAGGCAGAGTTCACCTGTGGAACTCCCCGGCACAGGAGGGAGAGGGAGAGAGGGGGAACTGGCCTGCCAAGGGTTAAAAGGGATTGAGCTGGATTCCTAGAAGGGAGAGAAAATAAAGGCGTTGGGGGGGTTGGGGGGGAAACAAAACTCCCCAGCCCAAGCCCCTCCCTCTCCGCCCTGCCTCAAAAGGAGGAGGGGCCTTTGTCTCTCTCTTCTGCACGTGCTGCATCCATGCCGCCTCTGGGGAGCCGGTGAGTCTCTGCACTGGGGAGAAGAGGGGGGGTCCCTAGGATGCATGGGGGGTCCAGTTGCTGCAAGGGGGAGCAGGGGGAGAGAGGGGCTCTTGCGCCCCAGTCCTGCAGGTGTTCTGATATTTGGGGTACCAAATGTGAGCCCCTTGAATTGGGCCAGGAAAGCTAGGTTGTGGGGCTTCAGTGAGGAGGGGGGCCCCATGGATGCCACCTGGAGCTCCTTGGAGAAAAGGGGGAGATGGAAATATAATGAATCAAGAGAGGGAGCCCGGCCACTTTTGCATTTGGGCAGCTCTGCCTAGAGGGCATTGCCATGGCCTCCTGGGGTCCAGAGCGTGGAGGACCCTGGCCTCGTCCTCTCTGTCTGAGCTGGAAAGGGATCCTGCTAGTCACTGAGGCCGCCTGAGCCCCCAGTGAGTGCGTTGGATCCAGGAGAAGCCCCAGACATGCTGGCTGTGGGGAGGTCAAGCTACGTCACAGTATTTTTATTTTTATGATTAATCATTACCTGCCTTTCTCCTTAAGCTGCCAACATTAAAACACAAGATTGAAACACAATATTGCAATTGCTTCTTAGTGCTGTCCCACATGAACTTTGGCCTCATGCATGTGGCCCTCAAGGGCTTGGCCAGATCAGGATCTGACCCTCAGAACGCAGAAAAAGGGATCCCACCCCAGCAGTGTGTCTGGAGGACGTTGGAGATGCACAGTGCTAGAAAACGAGACAGAAGCAGAAAAGGAGAGTGCCCTGAAATGGGGGTGGGAGGGAGAGCAACTCTTGAGGAGCCCCACTCTAGCCTAGTGCCCACATTACACTCGGAACAAAGGAATCATTGTTCTGACTTCATTCCTGGGCTGAAAACACCGAGAGGCAGGAGCCACTAGTCTGATTCATCTCACAGAAACCGCTTCATTTGCCTCCACTTTTGGCCTGGTCACTTTCCTTCCAGGAGGGCAAGAGAATTTCTTCTTCTCCTTTCTTCTTCCTTTCCTTCTTTAAGAAAGCCCAGAGTATGGCCTGTAATGTAGTCATACTCTGGTTCCTAGCAAGACTCATCCACACTTGCTCAGAGAACACTTCTATTCTCCTGACAGCGGGTCAATTTTATAACAGAACAATATATTTCCTTTGCAGTATTTGCCAGCACCTCTAATTCGGACAGACAGAACTTGGTCAAATAAAAACTGGATTCCTTCCTAAAGATGGATGAGGAAGACTCAGATGGCCCTGAAGCAGGAAGAGGCCCTGCCATGGAAACTGGAAGCCGTGGGGGATTCTGGGAAAACTCAGTGCAGTTGGGTGAGGTGGACACCCTTCGCTCAGAGGCGCAGTTGAGGCAGTTCTGTTGCCAGGAGGCTGAAGGACCCCGAGAGGTTTGCAGCCGACTCTACCACCTTTGCCACCAGTGGCTGAAGCCAGAAAGGCACACGAAAGCTGAGATGCTGGACCTGGTGATCTTGGAGCAGTTCCTGGCTGTCCTTCCAGCGGAGATGGAGAGCTGGGTGAGGGAATGCGGAGCAGAGACCAGTTCCCAGGCAGTGGCCCTGGCCGAAGGTTTCCTCCTGAGTCAGGCAGAGGAGAGGAAGCAGGCGGAGAAGAAGCAGGTGAGAGAGACTTTGCTCTTAATTCTCCCAAGGGGTATCCCATCCTTTTTTTGGAATGACTTTGGACACCCCTCAAGTTTTTGCCCCAGCCATTCCTTTTTTAACCATTCTCCACATTCTCTATTACAAATTCTTGTTGCTGTTTCAGGAAAAGGATCTTTCTGCAGAAACGAGTCCTGATTCCTCTGAGGCAGAGAGGACACCGTTGGACACCAGAGAGAGGCCGCTGGGTAAGGAGGAAGGACTTTCTTCTCAGTTGGGTCACATTCTGGAGATTCTCAAACTACTCTGTGGGTTCTTTTAGTGTTTTGTTTTTGTTTTATAATATTTATTACTTTTCCAAAAAATTAAACACTAAAAAGACAATACAATACAATACAATACAATACAATACAATACAATACAATACATTAAACTAACAAAACGAAACAAAAACAATAAAATAAATCAAACAATTTCATTATCCCATCTTTCATTCACTTATTTCCACGACCTCCTCACACCTCCCTTTTTGTATTCCACTTCTGTTAATTATTTCAGCAATTCCATTCCATCTT